TTTTTGTACAAAAATAAGTCAAGTTGACCATCAAAATGAGTCTGAGAGTGAGACTCTGAGAATGGTACCAACAAAATTTTAACTTGCAGTTTTCGTTTTACTCCTTTTCCCTTCTACATAATTTTGCTGTGTTTTTAAGCGAGATAAATTCTACACAATACCTCTGAAAATTTTGTTGAAAATTTGTCAACACATTACTGAAATAATTACTTCTGATTTTCCGAAACTCCGAATTCAATCGTCTCATGGGCACTGCCATCTTGGATAGTTAAGGAGATATCGTGATAACGAGTTTGTTTACCGTATGGAATTATGATTTAAAACCTTGATTTTACAACCAAATCTTTCAATTTAGAGGAAATATGTTTGTTTGGATACCAAAAGATGAGCAATGCAATATTTCCAAAAGAAATGTAAACTTACTGCGTTGTTTGACTAGCTTTGTCTTGTGTTTTTCACTCTTCATGTGGCTCTTGACGGTTGCTTCGCTGTTGCTGAGACTGAAATTGCACATGCAAACAGCACATCTTGCGGTCGACGGATTTGTGCTTACTTTCATAATCCACTCACGATAAACGGGGGTGCTCTAACCAAGCATCATTGAAATGACAGTTCCCTGGAATTTTGATTTTCACTTTCAAAAACTGTAGCAGTCAAAAATCACAAAAATATTGCGAAAGAATCTCCGTTAAATGCCAAGTTGGATGTGAAAATAAAACAGCAGCGCGAGACAACATGTAACGTAACAATACACATCCACGATCGACGACACGTACGTACATGTGTATAGCCAGATAGTGCTAGCGTACGTGCCGGCCAAATTCAGATTTTCGAACTATTGGTACGTCAAGGGTTTGTAAATTATTTTATTTGTATTGAAATTATCGAAGCAGGTCAGAAAAAAAATACATAACATTTTCTGTTTATATCAAAAGTAAAAATTATAATTCTCTTTCTAAAGGGATTTTTATCGTTTCCACGGGATTCAAAATAGTATATCTGGCAACAATATGACATTGCGCCTATGGCCTGCATGTGCATGCAATTGCCACGTGCACATTGGCAATACACACATCGCACACACACAATGCATATTCACCCAAATGCATGCAGAGATTGAAACAGCAGCGCACACAACCACTGTACACACACAATACTCATACAGGCACGCAATGCAAGTGATGAACTCGTTTTCACAATCAATCGGCAAATGTTACGAATAAAAGAAAACATGGGAAGAAAATGGTTGAAATATCTAAATTTATTTACACTTCTAGTGAAAAATGGAATAAATTTTCACAAATTTTGATATTCCATGACTTATTAGTCAATTTATCAATTTTTCCTGACTTTCAAGACCTGGAAAATATGAAAGTAAAATTCCATGACTTTCCAGGTTTTCCATGACCCGTATGAACCATGTTGTGTAACTTGTGGTGTTTGCCAAAAGGAGGTAACTATACATCCTTTCAATCCTTAGTCTTGTCCAAATATTGATAAATATCTGAAGTAAAAAGTTAAAGATATAAAACTCAACATTACACTTTACTATTCCAGTTCTGTTAATGTGAGTCTTAACATCCATTAAAAGGCCTCCTTAGCATTAGATATGGTAGATATAGTATAGTTGACACAATTAGTGCCCGATTTTTGCTTTCACTCATAATTTCTGACTTTCCCTCTACAGTAATAAATTATTAAAGTGTGCCTAGATGGATTCAAATGTTGTTCTGAGTAAAATGTAACTTTCTTCCAGCAATTTACACATAATGTCCTACTCTAGAAATGGAAAGGAACAATCCATAAAAGTTAAAACTCTACTACGTCTACACTGCTCACAGTACTCTAGAAACAATTTTGAAAGTAATTACTTTTCTTTAACTGACTTTCTAACATTTCATCAGTATATTTTATTAATTATGCCTTCTTCAATATTATTAATATAAATAACAACAAGCAAAGACCCAAGTTCTGCTCCCCAAAGCATTCCACGGGTAACAAGGATCCAGTTTGAACGGATTCTATTAATAACAACTTCTTGTTTTCTCTTACTAAGTCACAATAATACAATTAACCAGTGTTTCTCCAATCACTAATAATGTCCCTTTCTTAACTTTCTGTTTGGCACTTTATCAGAAGCCTTTGAAAATCTAAATACATCCAATCCATACCTTTCCACCATCCATATAGCATGTAACAAGTTAGAGAATTTTTGATCATAAACAAGTTAACTATAAGTTCAGATCTGAAATATTTGAAAATTAATAAATGTATTAATGAAGATAATTTTGCTAAACAAACTTAATATTACAAATCAATACATCAGAAAAGCAAAACGAACAATGATTACATTGCACTCTCTTAAATATTATAGCTTTGAGACATGGAGACAAAAGAGGGATCTGTAGCTTAAGGAAATAATTTCAATACCATGTCTCAAACCTTAAATTTGTTTACTTTTTTTTTTTGCAATTGCATTTTCACTTAAGCTAACTATCTTGTTTTGTTAATTTTTTGAAGATCCTTATGCCCCCTTTTTAAATTAACAATCATAGGCACAAATATGTATTATAGCAATACTGTCCTATTTGAAACAGTGTAATTTAATGAAATATATGGTTGGTGTATAATGCTCTCTTGGGAAACAATGACAACCTGTGGATTGGCTTCATGCAGATTGGATGGCTATTGCTCCAGATACCAAGTTGTACAGATACATGCATATATACATTCAATGTAAATATAAGACAATGTGTTATAATATGAAAGAATATGTATACAAATAAGCATTTTTAATATTTCTTATAGTTGTTGTATTTCCCCCTTCCTGCCGGTCATAGTAAGGCCATTAACAGTTTTGCTGCAGCTGACCAAATTTCCTATCAAGAGTGACATCCTGCACACTGTACAAGATCAAAAACTTGTCAATTAACAATTATATTAAAATACCTCCCCTCTATTTCTGATGGAGTTTGGGTCATGATACTTCTACGACTCTAAACTATGGTAGGCCATTGCTGCTGCAAAACTTTATCTGAAACTAAATATTTTCTAAATAAAATATATAGCTACACAATTTCTGCCTCACTTTTACCTAGAATCACCATCTCCTGTTTGCACTATCTTTGCCACTCTTTATAGTCAGCTTCAAAGATGGTTACTCTATCTGCAGTATCTATACAATTTGTAATCATGCACTGTTGGCTATAATTCAACACTTACCATCAGCCATCACTGTAATTGCTGATCCAATGCTTAAATCTGAGCTTGGTGCTATCTTTTAAACAACAGCTTAAAAATTTCTATTGTGGGAGACAGACTAGACATTTGTATAATGTTTTAAATGTTTATGCAACATTTTAGACATCTGTGTAACAAAGTCGAAATCAATCATGCACTGGTAAAAAAAAACTGATCCTGTTAGCTGCGCCATGTATGAAAGGGCAGGAACCCTATACATAAACAAAGGATACACAACATCAATACAGTAGAAGCAATAAGTTATTATTTGCTATGGTACAAGTTTCATGCCTACCATATAAACATTAAATTGCATCCATGGCCTGCAAACAGCTACATACTTATGCATGTAGTAGATTATAAGACTTCATATAAGCCATAGACTATATTAAAACGATTGGGTGTCAACAGTTATACAGCTGTTAATAGTTGCTAGTTAGTCAAATAAACCTACAATGCACAATGATGCTTTTTGTAATGCTGCTCATGTTTTATTACAATGCTTACAGCCATTTTTGCTGTAGGCTGGTGTAGCAATATTAAATAATAATAAATAAGAACAATGAAACAATCCCTATTATGAACCACTACCATAGTTCATGATTTAACCCACTATAAATTATTTGATGAATATCACTGGAATGAATTTAGAAGTGTTTCAAAGTAACTACAAGCAACTAAAACAATCAACAACAACAAAAGAAATTTCACAAACCCAAAAGTTACAAATTTTAAACACTTCTTTTTAAATACAAGTAATTTGCACCATGTTTCTTTCGGTAGATCCAACAACTGGCTATGCTGTGCTTGTAAGTGTGATAATTAATAACCAGACATTTCTATAAATATAATAATCTTTGTTATGATTAATAAGAAACTTTAATCCTTCAAAACCTTTACCTTCGTGTTCAGGTTCATAAATTTGATATTAACCTTATTAATTTAACAAAAAGGTTATCTTTAAATATTAATATGTTGCTTGTTTTTGTTTAAAACTCCTGCTGTAAAGTTTTTATTCCTAATGGATCTGTCCTTACAATAAATGTACCTTTAAATCTTAATAAAGCTACTTTAACCCATTATATAGAGAATAACTTCCCCTCAGTATCATACACATACTTAAATTGATTAGTTAAGTTTCAATCTCTACAAAAGACACTCCAGTATCTATGCTAACTAATAAAAAAATAATATAATTTTGTAATTCTTTAAATTCCTTATCTACTTTTCAACAACAAACATTCTTAGATCAATATTTTAAGTTCTGTTTTAACTTCTTTTTACAATTGCTGAGTACCTTTTCCATACCAATAATTTTCTTTTTAAATTTCTAAACCTGATTTTACTTATTTCTTGCAGATAATGGGCTAACGTTTCATGCTAACAATTACACCAAGTTGAATACACATATCTCATTTGTAAGTTCTTTAATAATAATAATAAAACTTCTCTATACAAACCACATCTCTTCTTTCATCATACACATCCTTAACCACAAATATCATGTCAAATCGAGACAAGATAGTTGGCATAAAATCAATATTCTCATCAGCTTTCGTATCATCCCAGCGTCCAAAAACACTATTTGCAGCAGCTAAGACAGAGCAGCAGGAGTTTAATGTGGTTGTAATTCCTGCCTGAAATGTGATACCAATTTAATTGTTTTTAACTGCAAGTGCTAGGTTGCATTTTATAAATGAATGAATTAAGCTAGAATACATTCTACAAGCACTTCAGATTTATTACAACTTGTTACTTTTGATATGGTAGGACCAATTGCAATTATGTAATATATCCATATACAATCAAATGAACTGGTAGATCAATATAATAAAGTCTTAGAAAGCAGCAGTAATTAACTACAGACAATCATATAGAGAAAGAGTGAAAGGGAAGGAAAAACATTACACTACAAGAATTGTAGTCCAAATACGCTTAACAGAAGGATAGAGAACAAGACAAGTTGCAAATATTTAAATATTTTTACTTAAATACAAGTACTTTGAACCATAATTCCAGATAGCATGTAACAAGTGTAACCCTTTTACTACAAGAAGCAACTATAGTCAATTGAAGATTAATCATATAACCACGGGTATCCTTTACTGCGCACAAGATTTTAGTGTTTTACATTCAAAATTTTATGAAACTACTTTTAAAGTTATACCAATTAGAATAGCATACGATCATAGCTAATAATCCATATTTTAATAGTATACAATTTTTAGTTCTTAATTCTACAAAGGAATATTTTAAAAAATCCTAAATTTCCCTCAAGTGTGACCCACGTGACATATTTTCATTTAGCATGTCATCTTCCCCATTTTATCCACCACACCTCATAAAAATAATAAAACTAAATGTAAATTACACCCTATAAAATCATCAATGCTCATTCAAACTATAATATTTATAGTCTTCAATTCTGTTTGGTTACAGAGCTATCAAATATAAAATCAGACCCCTCCTGCCACCCCTACCTGTCACATCCTCTCTTTCAAAATTTGTAAATAGTTCTTTCTTATGTTTAATTATATATATTATCTATAACCAATAGAAAGTCAAGGTTTTCATTTATCAAATGACATATTGTATAACATTGTGTTCTGAACAGTTAAACATCAATTTCACTCGGAGTACAAACACTGTTCCCGTGAGACAGTTAACGACAAGCTTGGATGAATTTGTAACGACTCTTGTTGCAGAGTTAGAAAGCTAGAAAAATTTTGAGAAATAAGGGAATTTGTCTACTTTTCACATGTTATTAGTCTATATTCTTTGGTGCATAATTTAATTAATTACAAATTATTAACTGCATTACTATCATTAGTATAAAAGAATTAGAGTTAACTCTCTTCAAAAATCAACAAGAAAAAAAAGTTTGGTAAAGTATTTTATTACCTGTTTTTAAAGTTTATTCTTTATGTATAATTATAAAAGTAACTAAAATGTAAAAATAGGGATCCCTTTTAGGTTTGTTAAGATTAGATTAGGTAAAATAAATAATAATAAAAATGTTTCAGGAGACACACACACACCAGCAACTCGTAGTAGCTTGTGGGTAATGTTACCGTAACATGAGCTGAATGTTCCCCAAGTGATTTACAACTTATATGGGTGCGGATAGTAGTTAGACATGGTTCAAAGGGAAATAAAACAATAAAATTTAAATATAACTATATGTATACTGTTATGAACTTAGAGATACTTAGGATAAACAAATGTAATTTCATGTTACAATTTGAAGTCATTCCCAAAAGAAAAAAAAAAAAGAGTAATTTAGATATACTTCAATTTTCTTTTTGGTGGTTACAAGGTTTGTCAAATTCATCTATTGCATTTTGAGATAAGGTAGAGAAAATAACAGATAAACTATAAAGTTTTACTGGGAAAAAAACGTTTAAAATGTATTTAGGCAGTTTGAGGGATTACACAAAGGAAATTTCAGATTTTTGAAATGACTAAATTATTTTTAATTTTAACATGAAAATTACATTGCACACGAACTATTCAAAACAAATACTTAATATATTCATGGACAAATCTTTATTTTATTAAAAATACTTCACTAAACAATGATTTTTTATATGTGAAAGACTTATAATGTCAACTAAAAGACTGCCAAATTTTGTGAAGATATACAAAGAGGTCATGTGGTCAGTCAAATTGATCCAGCCCGTGTTGAGAGAGTTAATTATCATTGACAACAGAGAAAGACTTTTCTCCATGGCTATCAAAAATTTTTTTTCCCTCTTCAGTGGAAAGCAACAACCCTCCATGACCTTGAATCAACTCCCAGACATCAAATAAGCTACATCTGGGGAGCAAAGCCAGTCATTTTTGCACCCTGGGCAAATTTCATGAACTTGCACCCCCGTTCTTCATTTTTAAAAAATACTGTGAACTGACTTAGCTTTTTGGCTATAAACTTTTCCCTTACTCCAATAGAGACAAAGTAAAATAGTACATTCAGTTATGACAGATAGCATAGTTTTTCTTGAATTAGGAGGTGAAGAGGAAGAAAAAAAAAGGGATGGGAGAAGAACAATAGATTTGAGAGGTAATGGAAGAGTTACTTCATTGGACATCCAACTGAAGAAATAGAAAGAGGACTAGGCAAAGAGGTAAATAGGAGAAAAGATGGCAGAAAAGAAAGCAGTCAGAAGATGAAGGAAGTTAAGAGATGGCAGAAGTAGGTGAAGAATAGAGAATTAGTGGAGGGAAGAAATAAGAAATGGTGGAAAGGAGAAAGAGTCAAGAGAAGAGATATGAGGGGAAGATTAGAATTACTGAATAACAGGCTTAGCACTTGGGCTGCACCCTCCCTTCCAGCTCTGCCCTGGGCAACTGCTTCTGCCATCATATCTTAGCTATGACTCTGTCTGGGGAGAATGTTTGTTTGTTTTTGTTTTTGAATTTTGCGAAAAGCTACACGAGGGCTATCTGCACTAGGCGTCCCTAATTTAGCAGTGTAAGACTAGAGGGAAGGCAGCTACTCATCACCACCCACTGCCAACTCTTGGGCTACTCTTTTACCAACGAACAGTGGGATTGACCATCACATTATAATGCCCCCACGGCTGAAAGAGCGAGCATGTTTGGTGTGACAGGGAATCGAACCCGCGACGTGAGTCGAACGCCCTAACCACATGGCCATGCCGGGCCCTGGGAGAATGAGTGGGAAACACAAGTATAAACAATCTCTCAGCTGGGGCCCTAGCCGGCAGATAATGTGAGGCACCCATGTACAAAGATACCAGCTGATTGCTGTACTTTCTCTGTGTTTTTACCTTAATTTAGGTAAGTTATCGATTCCATAATGAATAATACAGTGAAACTTACTGCTAATTTACAATTTCTTTTTGATGGAGAAATGACATTGACTGGAAACTGACCATGAAATTTAATTATGTGGTGAAAGGGTTACTAATATTTGGTCAAAAGTTAACTACAAATTAATATCTGAAATAATTGAAAATTAACTAATATATTAATGTAGACAATCCAGTAGAAAAAAAAATTACTAAAAATGCTTTTGTTAGAAATTAATACATCAGAAGAACTTGAAATGATCAGGTTGCACAAAAGCATCACGAAAAATTGACAGAGGAACGTCAATGTTCAAAAAATATCATATATTACCTTTGCAATAGAAATAGTCTGTTGTTCCATGGCTTCATGGATGGCAACACGATCATCTTCTCGCATCTTGTCAAACTCATCAATGCAAACTACTCCTCCATCTGCTAACACCATAGCTCCCCCTTCCAGAATAAAATTTCTCTGTGCATAATATTACAGTTTTAGTAAGAATTTATAAATTCTTTGCATTTTTACATAATAATTTAAAAATTAATAACTTCATCTTGTAAAACAAGTCTTATTAATAAACACATATTACATAATAAAGGCCCAAATCTATGTTATGAGTGGCTATACTGTAATTTTTGAAAGTTATAATATTAACATACACACACACAAAATAATTTTAAGGTTTGGCTGTCTTTCTTGTATATGTGTTATAGACTATAATTTTATATACCTTTCTAGCAGAAGTATTTTTCTCTTAACAATATTATACCCCAATTTGTAAACTATACACGTCTTGTGACAAGTATAATTATAACCATGCTTCTCCAGCTTGTAAAAGGCATTCACACCATAACAACTGTCATCGTAACAAAAGGCTTATATAAACAGTGTTCTGACCACTACTGTGTTTGTTGTATCCTAGCCAGCCTGAAGAGCTCTGTATTGAGTGAAATGCAATATATATGGTGACCATAGTATGATTGGAATCCTATTAATAAAACCATAAAGGACTAAATATAGAATGTAGTGTTTAAAAATATAGCAGGCCTAATACTAATCTTATGATAAGTATAATCATGCTCTGCAAGCTTGTAAAAGGCATTCTCACAATAACAATTGTTCAATCATTTCATCCTTTTACTTGTTGAAACAACCCATTTTCCTGGATAAAAACTGCAGTCGCCTACATTAACAGCTAAAGTGACTTTAAAATTCAAAAACTGGTCAGATTAAACAGTCCATTAAAATCTATTAGAACATCACAAATGGTAAGCAATATCATAACCAACTGAGAACTACAGTTTTAAGCAATGTCAGCTTTCATCAGCACAGCTAGAGTGAAGATAGAAATTATCATCCAATAGGGTTTTATGTGGAAGAAAATAATATAAATCTGTGTGTATATCTAAAACCTACACCAAAATTAAACAGATTATTCACTTTTAAGTAATAGTCTTAACTTACAGAAAATGGATCCCTTATAATAGATGCTGTGAGACCTGCTGCACTACTTCCTTTACCAGATGTATATACCTGTCCAACAAAAAAGAAATCTTGGTTTAAACTAATTTGCAACAAGATACTGAAAAAAATTGTTTATTATTCATTATAAAGAAGATATGTTTAACTTACATTACTTCAAAAAATTAACCCAAACTAAACCATGACATATTATTAAAATAAAAAAACATCGATTCCATTAATCTCAAACAGCAAAAATAAAGTAATTTGTAAGTGATATGAAATAATAGTTCTCTTTCTGTTAAATTTTGTTACAGCTCCAAGTAAAATTTCTGTTGTTGGATGTTATTAAAGAACTGAAATATGCTACTAAAATAACACTAAAAAAACACTCAACAACTTTCCTCTTACCATTTTCCATGGCTTAAAAATATCTTAACAGAAATATTTCCAATAAAACATCAACTTTGCTAAAATTAGGGTAAGATTAAAGAAATATTCTTAACAGGCTAGTGTTTTATTAACCTAAAACTTTATTTTTATAAACTTTTTATATCCTAACCATCTACAAAACTTCTAGGATAATTATACATTTGGTCTAGTCTCAGTTTTATGAACATAAAATTAGTTCTGTCAATATTTAAGTAAATTTTGTTAACTGTAATCTATCTTTTAATCTTGATTAATCTTACTTTCACTTGTATAATTTCACCTGAAATAAAAATACATTCAATTAAAATGAAAAAAAAATCATTAATCTAAAAATAAATTAAAAAATGGAATGTCCACGTATTTCCATTATTAGCTCCATAAGACCTAGGTGCATCAAATCAATGCACCTGTTGTACAATTCATTTTATCGTATTGAAGAAGAAGAATAAAAGAAAAAAAAAATATGTGATACTTGTACAAATTCACAGTTTCAAAATTTAGGAGAGGTTTTACTTTGATATGTATTAAGAAATAATTGGAAATGCTCACCTTTGCTGTGCATTTTAGCTATTGATTTATGTTTTCCTACATTCTTTTAAAACTTTCCTATAAAATTAATATTTCATAAAACTAAATATTCTCTGTTTTGAATCAAACACCACTGCATACAGCTTCAGTGTATAACCACTGGGGTACAATAATGATAGCTTTTTTACTGTACCCAATTATAAGCATACCAACTTAATAACAAAACAAAAAACACAGCAGCCTTATTGGTGAAAAGAAACCGAATATCATCAGGTGAAATATGATTTAACTAAAAACTACTTCATCTTCTTCTATGGATAATATTTATTATACTTCAACACCATAATTCAAATGATGAAGAATACTTTTCACAAACTTTAAAGAATAAAATCAAGACTACTTGTAGCAAAAGTAGTTCCCAAACACATTTTCCTCTAATAATATATCATCAACCTAAGCTTTTATCAATTTGTTACATCCTTTATGTGAATACTCATTAGCTGTTAACCTTTTTTGGCTTTTCCATTTGAAAAAAGGAGCTTTCACAAAATGTTTAAATCAGCAGCCTATGGCTTCTAAGGCTGAGATATAGGCAATTACATGAACCCACAACAACTAAGGTTAACTGAGCAACAATGAATGCCGAAAATCAATAAAGCTACACATTTATTCAAGTTACAAGGAAAAATTAGCACTATTTTGTTCAAAATTATCATAACTTTCTTCTCGGGGGACTACAGGTGCTACATTATAATCAGAAAAAAAATTCAGGAAATTCACAGACAATGACTTCATTTTGAGAATGCTGAAATAAACCCAAAATCAAAATCTGCAATATTTTTATGTAAAAAAAGTATTAGATAAAATGTTTTTATAGGACCTACAAGGTGTTTAAATGCAGGTTCCTTACAAAAAGATAAATAATGTTATATTTAGTATAAAAGTGTGACAATTTTCAACTTCCAGATAATGCCATAAAAATTAAGTTTAAAGTGTTTTATTTTTTCTAATGAACAGAAAAAAATAAATTTATTTTCTACACTTTTTTAATTCAATGGTGCAATTTTGCTGGAGGCAGACTGCACCCACCTAGGTGTGAAAAGTTAAATGATGAGGGATTGTAAGATAGAAATTTGCCCAATGTTAAAATTTTTATATTTACATTTATATTGTGTTAATTTTAACCTACCATGCTGAATCCTACATATATTACCAAAGATTATTTTTATCCTGGCCACAACTCACCTATAAAATGTTACGTTTCCTTTAAAATTACATTAAATTTTTATATTTTATCTTCAATCACTGTCCAATTTATTAGAAGTAGAATTGGTGATTGTCACAGCATCTTGAACACATTAAAAATATTCACTGTTACTTACCTCGTGTGATCCTATTGAAATAGGTAAAAAAAAAAAAAACAGATTTCTCTGAAGTAGAGAACAGTGTACATATTTTTAAGTACTATCAATACCAACGTAAACTTCCTCAAACCAAAAAAACTGACAAAAATACTTTCCAATAAATGATCCATAAGCAGGCTTGCCCAGGGAGATGCTACCTTATGTGCATGAACCTAATAATTCAGGCCATCCCTTCATTTCTAGTAATAATGTGGAACAAAAAATTTTTCATTACACTGATCTTCAAATAAAGGATATCCTTACTGAACTTCCTTCTTACATCAACATTGTTGTAGTTTAATTTAATGCATAAAGCCATTTGGGCCATACAACAGATAATTTCTGTGGTAATAGCACCCAAATGCGTTGGAGAAGTCCCATCTATCAGACAATATCCAAATGCCAATGTCAATCTAGTCAGCAGTCATGAAAAACCATTTTAAAAAAAGCATCAATCAAATAAGGGTACAAATAACTGTATTTAAAGAATTAGTAATAAATTTGAATTTGACAGGATTTTTGGAATTTTGGAATTGCATATAAAAAATGGTAAATTTATACAAGAATAATCTGTATGGATATTCCATTTTTTAATAGCCTTCTTTAAATTAGTAATAATATTATTTTCTTTAAAGTACTTTTGATATTAATTTCATCAAGTAAAATTTGTACATATAACTTTTTACACAAAAAACCAAAATTACAGTCAGCTTTATCAGTTGGGGTAATAATGAATTGTTTTTGAATTTATTTTATTTTAAATTAGTAGAAATATTAGGGTGGCTTTATTTCAATTCATTTCCACTTTAGAAAATTTAAGGATAACTGTCTTCCCAAAACTGGCTATAGACAGTTAAAAGCAGTAGAAGATGAGACGTTGTAGGTGTAAGCACTCAGCTTCATATCCTTACTTGATTGATGATTTTTTTTTTTTTCGTAATGATTTCCCATGATGGCTGACTAGATTGACATCAGCGTTTGGATATTGTCTAATAGGTGGGATATCCCCAACGCATTTGGGTACTATTACCACAAACATTATCCATTATGACAATAAGTTGACAGCCAGGACCAATAACGGTATTGCGATATTTAATTCATTATTGTTCTTTAGTGATTTAATCGCATATAATTTGTTTGTAATTAAGCTCAAAGCTATACAATGGGCTATCTGTGCTCTGCCCACCACGGGTATCGGAACCTGGATTCTAGCGCAAGTCCGCAGACATACTGCTGTGCCACTGGGGGCTAATCATCT